AAACCAATCGTTGATATATTGTCAAAAGTCTAACACTGCTTCTTGACGCCAAATTCGGCCTACGGATTCTAAACTCGGCCTATCGTATTTAAACGCCATTGAAACGCCAATGAATTCACTTCGGCCTATCGGATGAAGATAAAACATGATTCGTTTGGAGCGCCTCTTTTGTTTCTGGGAATAATGGGTGCCAACCTTCATATCACGCGTTCTCATTGACTTCGTTCGTTAGCTTATTAACTAAAGTATCGTACCAAACGCATAATTTACTTGTTAACTCTAAAATCATGGATTTATTTGAAGTTTTCTGCTCGATAGGCCCAAAATAGTTCTCTAACCTACTTATGATGATGATGATGATGATGATGATGGTCCCACCTCTTACCCCTACAAAGGTTTGAGCTGGACGAGTTATCTTTAAGATAATTAAATATAAACATTTTAACCAGGTTTGCAAACAAAATCGAGCTGGTTACAATTACAGATATAAATGTCCTGTTAAATATGCTAAAGGCATCAACCAAAAACATTCAAAGGTGTAACTAGTTATCAAAAGTCCAAGTATAGTCCTCGACAATACTTCCATTTACACGTGACCTGGGATTTACACGTTTAAGCTTCCGCAGTGCCAGGACTATATCCAAGGAAACGACTTCCAGCCAACCCTTTACTAATTCAAGGCTTTTTGCCACAATTTCCACGTATTAGTCATTTATACCTGTATTCCGCGCGCGAGGCTCAAACCATCGTAGACTACTCAAAGCTATTTTTACTACTATTACTACTACAAAATCAAAAAACTAAAAATCCATCATCACCATCGAGGCAAACAATGTAGTTTTTTGTATATGCTACACCAATTACTAAAATGTCTATATGACAGTCTCCATACAAAATAATCCGTTAGAGATAACTTTGTCAAGATACATGATTTATCCATTCATAAAAAATTAACTGCTCAATAAACAGCTTTTACATGTGAAATGCAGCGTCTCTTGAATTCTGTAAGTGTAGTTGCACGCTTGATGTGTCTAGGCATCGAATTGAAAACATTTATACCTTTGAAAAATAATGAATTTTGTGAAGCATTATTCAAAAGATGTGGTGTTCTTACTTCATCCGCGTTTCTACTTGGAGGCGAACCAGCCTAAGGCTGAAAGCCTCCTAAATAAAGCTAAATTAATTAATTAATCCGCGTTTCTAGAGTTATATCTATGAAAATCACTTCCTCTTTCAATCCGATCACACAAATATCGAGGCAGCAAACCGTTAACTACTTTAAAAATAAACACCATAGTCAAAAACACAATTCTTTGCTTCACTGACAGCCATTGCAAAGCGTCCAGCATAAAAGTTGAGGAAGTGAATCTATTACATCTTAAAATCAAACGCATTACTTTATTCTGCAAACGCTGTAATCTCGATATTTGTGTTTCATTGGCCAAAAATAAAATGGAAGGGCAAAAGTCTAGATGAGGGGAGATGATTGATTTGTATAACTGTATTTTACTACCAATAGTTAAATCGTTTTTCAAGCGACATAGGATTCCATACTTCTTGGCAATTTTCTTGATGACATTGTCAATATGAGAATTGAACTTGAGTTTGTCATCAATAATCACGCCAAGATATTTAATTTCCTGAACGCGATCAAGTGTCTCATCATCAATACCAACAGAGACATCATCATCTACACGATTCCGCGAAATTACCATGAATTTAGTTTTACTTATATTCAATTTCAATTGTTTATACTTCAACCATCTACTTAGAGAACGCAAATCTTCATTCAAGCGTGAAACGGCTTCTTCTAAATCTTTAGCTGCAATGAATAACACAGTATCGTCAGCAAAAAGATTAATATCACAAAACCGTAAAACTCGTCGCATGTCATTAATATACATAATAAATAAATAAATGCTTATGAATATTTTAGATGGACAAAAAAGCGAATTAAGAGGTGGACGCCTGAGTTTTTCCACATTTATATCGTTGTGAAGCAACTGTGAACTCTATAGAGTAATTTAATTATCTTAAAGATAAATCGTCAAGCTCAAACCTTTGCAGGGGTAAGAGGTGGGACCATTATCATCAACATCATCAAGTGTTCAATGGTTTCTTAGGAACTCTACACAAGGCTGCAGAAATGGCCGCATGAAAGTTCCGAACAAGTTTACTGTATATTTATACAATGCATCAATATTCAATCCAAACATTAAAGAAATAAAAGAGCAGTTCCTGGATTGGAACCTATGTATTCCGCATGCGACCAACGTGCACTTATCACTGCCCCACGAGTGAAACTATGCGGGAAACTCTAATTTGAAATTCGTCGAGGTGGTTACTAGCACTGAAAACTCCAACAGTAGTCGGGAAAGCAGCCCTACTTTTATATATTTCAGATGGCGTAGCGTAGCGGTTTGTACTGAGGCTATCATGCAGGAGGACCGGGTTCAATTCTCACTACAGCTCTTATAATATAACACGATCATAAATGACACTAGCTTTACAAACTACCTTCACAAAAGTGCGAAATAAATCTTTTCAAAAAGTGCCGTTCTGATTGTGCACAAGCTTCTTTAGAAGGTGCTTATAATGCTATACGATTATGTCATGGGATCTTTCAAGTTCATATAACGAGTAGAAATAAGCTGCTAAGCTGCTAAGCTGCTAAGAATACTATAAACAACCCAATTGGGTTGATAGTTTAAAAGAAAACTAAATTTCAACAACTGAGTGAAAAGTTATTAACAAATGAGCTATTTGCGTGTAGAACTGTCCATGCCAAGTATGCCTACTAGGTTCGGTAAACTTAACAACGCCCTACTCTCCACTGCTTGTTCGACCTGCATTCTCAACAACTGTGCCAAATTTGAACGAATTTAGTTATGATTGGGAATTGCATTAGAACTTTAACTTAATTAGAAGGAAGCAGAAAAAAACTATTCAATTGCTTGTCAAAAATTTAAAAACAAAATCTACTCTTATCAAACTTAAGACTTAGATTGGAAAAAAAAAAACTTTATCGAAAACCGCAAATTGACTCGACTTCTGGGCAATAAGTTATTAACTTTTTACTTTAGACCAAGTGAAAACTATGCATGGGATCAGAATTTCCAAATAAACTTCATATAGACAACAGATTTGGCTTCGATTGCGCAGTGTGGGGCAAATCATCTCACGATCATTGATTTTTTTCTCCAGTTATTTGATCTATTGTGGTATACCCCACCCTGTATCCTTAGTTTAGTGCATTTCGCATTATTCCGTCACTATTGAGAAATGATGAACTATTCGATTTTGATACAGTTGTCATTCTTGCCTTTATTGCAAGAATCCGAGTTCAATTTAAGGTCCCGCTCTTTATACCATTCGAAGTGTTGGAACACCATCCAAAGGCGCGCTCCTTTGTCAGTCAAAAACGGATTAATTCGCAACAAAATCAAGCAACACCGATAATGACCATGCATCAGAATCCTAGTCTTAATTACTTCAAACTAGAGAACAGCGAATAAAAGATTAGGAATCACGTAGATAAAAAATAACTACCTAACTATTGTTTACCTTGATTCAAGATCATCCTCGGTGGACAAAGCCGAGTCTTGGAACTATCAACAAGACATAAAAAAGTAAAGATAATTAAGATATGTTCCTTGCCCCATAACGTGGGTAGATCACGGATCATGGTACGTTACGGGATGTAAGATCTACCACCGATTCCTAGTCTTGACTACTTCAAACTAGGGGAACAGGATTTTTCAGTAATCAAAGGAGCACATCTTAGTCCTTGTTACTTTTTATGCCTTGTTGATAGTGATAAGACTCAGCTTTGTCCACCGAGGATGATCTTGGAACAAGGAAAAATGAGCTAGTCATCTATGTGATTCCTAATCTTCTATTCGTTGTTCCCTAGTTTGAAGTGGTTAAGACTATATAGGGTTCTCATGCATGGTCGTTATCGGTGTCATTCCTTATTTTTGTTACAGACAAAGGGGCGCGCCTTTGGTGTTCCAACACTCTGAAGGGTTTAAATAGCGGGACCTTTCAATTAGAATCGATTCCTTGCGATGAAGGCATGACAAATGTATCAAAACTGAATAATTCATAATTTCTCAATAGTGATGGAGTAATACGACTTGCACTAAACTAAGGACACGGGATATACTAAAATAGATAAAAATTACTGGTCGCAGTGGTGTTATGTCCCGCACAGAGGAAACTAAAGATGTGTTCCATTGATTACAAAACAGTCCTGTTGCCCTAGTTTGAAGTAGTTCGGACGAGGCTTCGGTGGTATATCTTAATGCTAGTAACGTACAACGAAAGTATAATCTACTAGGCGTTACTGAGCATTATTATCCTTAGTTGGAATCTCAAATCCCCCAAGTTGTTTTTTTTTTTATTTCAAACTATATACTTTAGCCGACTGGCTACTTTATATCCAAAAATCCCCAAAGCTGTTTACTCCAGAACTCCGATTTATAGACTTAGTTCTGTTGAAAAGAAAACTCTTCTCGTAAATTCACTATGTATTAAGCACACGTTGGACATTTTTCAAAAAATGGTCTTTTGAACCACGAATCAATGTGCACTGACAAAACCACTTATTATTCCATTTAAAAAACATTACCAAGCTTATATCCGTCGTTACGAAAATAAAACTTTCTTCTGGTGTATTTTAATTTTTTATCAACAGGTCTCATATCCAATACAGCACAAACAACGATTTAACGAGCAACATTTTCGTTTAGTAAATTTTCCTGTCTACTGATTCAATTAACCGCAGTTTTTGCACTCACGCCCAGCAAACATCGCCGGAACACACGGCAAATATAATTCGGATGATCTAACCGGTTTCATGATAGGCGCACACTCCGTTATGATCACTGTTTCGCTAAACCGCTGATCACCACCACGTTCACTTTCAATACTAGTAAAGGGTACATGTGAATAAAACGTTAACATTTCCCCATCAATTCGGAACAGCCCACAAGAATTACCTTCGGTTCTAGCCTCCATTAGAACCATTGCGAATAAAAGCACGATTTTCTTCATTTTCACCGAAATAAAAACTGTTCTATACGCTCGCACAAGTCACTCGTTTGCTGTCTTGGACGATCACCGACTAAAGACACCGTTATTCTCGCTTTCTGTGCTTTCGTTCTGACTCCGCTGATGGACACGTCTTCACGAGTAAAAAACCTGTTGATGACTGCTCGCTGCTTACGACGTCAAGTGTGCTATTATATGAGGCCCCAGTAGCTTGTGTGCGTCGATGCTAACGGGGAGCATTCGCTGAAGAGTCGAGTGACGTTATCCCCGAAAGGGTTTCTTCGCTCTTGCCGGCAAAACAAACCGTGGAAAAAATCTAGCGTCATTCTTTTCGCCATACAACAAAGTGAACATTTCGTGCCGATAGCCGTCTCTTTTCTACACGTGCCTAGGTACGTCAAGTGGTTCGCTCGCACCGCAGCACGTGGTCTACTATGCTGAGGATACTCCAATGTGAGCGCGTGGATGGAAAATCGGGTGGGTGGTGCAGAGAACAGTAAGCTCTGCCTGCGTGCACATAAAGCACAACGGTGTGCGGGTAGACATTAGGGGACGCGATGAAATGAAACAAGTGAGATTGAACGATCGGCGGGAAAATTAACGCGGGTGCGGAAGACAGAGAGAGTATTTTTTTTTCGTTTGTCCATTCATAGAGCCTGGCAGGAAAAATGAAAAATACATTTTGATTGGGTTTTCCTTTGCAGTTCCTGGTGCGTGCTAGCGGTGTTATTTGTTGAGGCGAAAAGCCATAGCGTGCCATTGCATAACAATAAATAACATTTCTCCTTTTTTTGCATTTGCTATGTAAACAGTTTGTTCCATATTTATAAGAAATAAACAGGTGGTCCTAGGTTTAATTCGAGCTGGTATGGTGCATTCAACAAATAGGTTAGCTAAAGCAAACCCCACACGTATCAATATAATGACACGAATACTATACTTTTATTTTCAATAAAAGTAATCGTAGGGTCCACTTAATAGAAAATCTTCTGAAATAATTTACTGACTAAAATGTATTGAAATAAAGTGTGGCAATCTAAAGCATATTTATCAATATTTAGTGCGACTGAAACTGATGAAGACTGCATATTATAGTCGAAATACATATCGGTCATGGATATCAAAATTAATTAAGTGGAATTAATTGAAAGATAACTTTTTCTGCTGTTTTATTTAAGCATTCCGCTAACAACCCAATTTAATTACTTCAGGCTATTATTTCCTGAATCCCAAAGCTTTTCGAAGCGATCGTCAATGAAAGAATATTCTATCGGATCACAAACACAATCACTAACATGCAACATTTATCTTCAAAGGACGATCAACTAATATCAATTTACTTGAATTCGTCAACTATTCTTTGATTGCAATGGATAATGGAAACCATGTAGCAGCACTCTATACTGATTTTAGCAACGCATTTGATTGTAAAGATATACCCATGCTTCATTTCAAATTAGAAAAATAGGAATTGAACCTGGACTTCTCAAATGGCTTAAGTCACATTTAACTAATCGCCAACAAATAGTTAGATTGGAAGGTGAAAAATCGAACCCTATTACTGTTACTTCTGGAGTCCCGCAAGGCTAGGCTAGGCCGCCTTTTGTACATCTTCTTTATTCTTAACATCATAAACAAAGTATGCGGATGACATGAAGCTCTTTCTAGAAATAAGAAACATAGAAGATATACAGATATACCAGAATGAAATAAGCTTATGCTATGTTTGGTGTAACAAAAGCCTCCTGCAACTTTTGCTGATTTTAGACTTGATGAAAGATCAACAAACGTTCCAGCAATTCCACTTTCTGTCAATATGACAACCTTTTACTGAAAATCAGCAATATTTCAGAAATTCAAAATTCTGACATCTGGCAGCATTTTGCTGATTAAACTATTAAATTCTGTAAATTGAATTTGTTTTCACAAAGCTGGTGCAACCACACGGAAAGATTGCTTCAGAGTAATCCGTTCTCGGCACTCCCCGAAGAAGCAGATGTAGATCCAGTTGAGAAACGGGAAAAAGTGCCCCCACTGGTCACCTCAACGAAGGAACTCGCGTTGCTCAGGAATGAGCTGGCTAAAAATCAAATCCATCCGCTGTTCAAGCTGTGTATCACGGGGATTAAAATTTTGTGTTCGACGCTGGCGGACTACAACGCTGTTGGCACTTTTCGTCAGCTGAACCGGTTTGAGTTCTACACTCACGACGTCCCTGGAAGCAAACCACTGAAAATGGAAATCTGTGGTCGTCCAATCTCCCTGTTGCGGAGATTAAAGCGGAATTGGAGTTCCTTCATCTGCAACCAATCAACATTTTTCCCATTGCGAGACGTGATGAAACCAGTGCATTCCGGGACCAGTTGTACCTGGTGCACTTCGATAAGGACTCCACCAGTGTGGCTGCTCTGTGGCAGATTCGCGCTCTGTTCAACATCGTGATTCAGTGGAAGCAGTATCGGCACCGTGACGTGAAACAGTGCACTAATTGTCTGGCATTTAGGCACGGTACGAAGAATTGTCACATGAAGGCTCGTCGTGGAAATGTGCTGGGGCTCACATTACTACCGCCTGCAATAAGGAAGAAGAAACTGAATCTTAGTGCGTTAACTGTGATTCCAACCATCTGGGCAGCGATAGATGTCCCAAGCGGGCGGCCTTCATCCAGATCCGATAACAGGCTTCCACAAGGAACCAACCTGGTCGACACCGCAATAATCGTGCTCCTACTGTCAACATGGATACGTTTCCAGTACTTCAGGCTCGTCGCTGAATAGGAATAGAACAAGGAATAAAATGTTATCCTTTGTTAATTGGAAAATCTTGATTCCCTAGTTTGAATTTGTCACAGCTAGGGTTCGGTGGTAGATCTTATACCGCACCACAAAAAAGTAATCTCCCAACGTTACTGGTTTGAAAAGATAAAAAAATACCAAATTGAACGAACTCACCATGTTTAGCTGCTTGACATGTGTTTTTGTAGAAGTCCAAATTGTAGACGAAGCTTGACGAAGATCAACATGAATTTCTTAAATTTCATTTATAAAAATGAAATTTATACATTGATATTGAAGAGGTCATAGAGTTATGGAGAGTTGACTGTAGCAGAGCAACTGAAAGAAGTTTTTTTATTATCATCATCATCAATGGAGTTTAAATAGATCCTGCTTCATGACAAAGACCGATCAAACGGATGACGGAGTTTGATTTCAACGTCCATCTTCCATCCAAACAAGGGGAAAAAAAGGGACCTCTCATACCACGGCTAATTGCGATGAGCCCTTCTACCACTACCGCGAATCATCATTTCGGTGCTCACACTCTAATTCAATTGGCATTGATGGCACCTTCGAAAAACCGTGTCTTCTAACAATTTTAAATAGAGTGATTATATTCGCAAAAATCACCATCTTAGCGCCTCTCGGTGGAGCTTTGTATGGGAGCGAGCTGTCAATTTGATAGTTGAGTGTCAAACAGTGAAGTTATTATCTTGCATTAAATCTTGATTTAAAACTCGAGATAAAATTCTGTGGGATCGAAAAAAATATCGTTGTGCTCAGAAAACAAAGCTCTTTCAGATGATGTTTAAAAACAGACAATTTTTCTTGCAATTTGGCATTGTCTAAAGGAATCTTTATCAGCTTTTCAAAAATCACATCCCTATGTTTCGGAAACTTTCGAAAGTGCAAAATTATGTTTTTGATATCAAGTCTAATGAAAAAAAATAATTCACCGCAAATACAAACGTTACAGAATTGAGTGTAATACAATAAAAATGTCTCATGCTGAATTTTATTTAAAAACACATTTTAATCATTTCCTTGCGAGTAACCGTTCTCGAATTTGGCCAAGTTGGTTGAAAATGGTTCTTAGCCTACACAGTTGAAAAAAAGTAATGTGAATTTCTGTCACTATGATGCATATAAAAGGAGCGCCATGTATCATACAAGTTAACATTCAAAATATTGTATGCAACATTTCTTGCAAGTGGTATTATGGAATAAATATACTTCAAATTATCATATTAGAGATGCAGCTTTAGTCCGGGAATAAGAAGGTGCTAGCTCTACTGTTGATCCAGAAACCCATTTTAAAATGTTTGATAATTCATACCAATTCCGAAGTCACTTTCAGAAGCCATAAGCTACACATGTCTACAGTTCCGATATCACATGGCTAATGGAACTACAAGCACACCTTCAGATTCAGATCAATGCTTTGAATCCAGCGCGTATGTAATAAAGCATGATGTAAAACACGATTGGGAATATCCATTGTCAGTAAAATATTATGAAAAGATCTCACCAAATTATATGTCTATAGATCGTGTCTTAAGACATTATTGTTGCCATCGTCCTCCTCCTCTTGCTTGTAGATACACATCAAAAATTCTATTCAAAGACACTAATTTCCTACTGTAAAGCTTTAGATATTTATAAAAAGTAGAAGGGTCTGTGCCTAGGGGCACAAACGGAAGCTTGACGTAGGACCGCTAGTGGACGGAATAAATGTGAAGAGCATTTAGTTCTTTTAATTGATCAATTGTCTATTATCTCAACTCTTTCCGTTTTTGAATTGTAGGCGTACCAAATCTGTAGTATTTTTTTTTTTTCAAAGAGAAAGTCAAAATCACTTGCACCCCTGCTTCCAAGTTTGGTTACAAGATTTCAACTCTGGAGGGCATTTTGTGTGGTCGTTGGGGGCTTGTAGTTCTGAATATGGACAAACAAGCGCAGATAAATTCTATTCCAACTCTTTACTGATGTAAGCTTGATGGACCTGAAAAGAGCCGTTTTATTGAAGAGAACTTCCATGGCCACTTACGCTTGGCGTGTTTAGTGTAGGTGACAGCATCACGGACCTCATTTTCTAGGAACACCTTCAGAACACCTCGTAGATCAGACCGGAGATACGTTTGACACCACCACGGCGAGCCAGACGACCGATGCGATGGCGGTTATCTCGAAGAACTTTGCGATGACGCTTGGCGCCTCCTTTACCAGACCAGTCAATTGTTGCTTGTTAGGTGTGAAGGAGTGGACTAGCCACCACCTTCCTACTGCTGCCATTGCTGTTCACCATGCCGTCCGAAGCGAAAATGAGCTAATGCCATACAGCAGCGCTCTTTTATATCTTTTCAGGTTAAAGCAGAATGATGTGCAACCAAGTGGTATAAAAGCTACAA